TGGAATAATAAACAATTTGGAAATCTAGTGCTGTTGTGCATATTGTATTAGTTGGCAGAGAATCCAGACTGGAGGGAGACTTGATAAATGCATGATCTGCAAGAGAAATTTGTATGAACTCAGGTCTTTATAATTTCCAAGAAGTAGGTGAGTTAGCTTTCAGTAGTGCCTTTTGATCTTGCAGCTCCCTTTAGGTAGCTCCAAGAATACCATGAATGGTTTTTGGGTACTGGAGCTTAGAGTGGGGGAAACTATAGAACAAGTATGAAAAGAGTATCTTTTTATTGATGAATATGTGTTAATGGATTTCTTCACTGTGGAGCATTTTCGTCTTAGAAGATTTGCCCCTTCTGGCAAAATTTTGTGTAACAAAGGTCTCCAGCTTCACACTGGAGCTAAAATCTGGCAATGTATGACTGTCCCTAATGTGGTGTGATGGAAGAATGCTGCCTTATAAATCTGCAAGTCCTTTTAATGAGTTGAAGAACTGACTTTAAATGCTACTCTCACAGCTTCCTTAAGCAAATACGTCTGGACAAATCTTACCAGTAAAAGTAAGTTTTGCAGTAATGAAATGACTGTGGTTTTCATACTTGTATTACAAGATGTTGTGTCAAAGTAGTAACAGAGGGGAGACAGGAGTTATGATGGAATTTGACCTGATTACTCCTTTTAATGGAGTTCACCATAAATGCTGTTTGTAGGACTAGAAATTCTTGTTAACATCCTTACAAGGTGTGCTGACAAACTGCTGTGATCAAAAAAGAATGTAGTCTTGCTGTGTAAACTCCCAGTAACCTATGACAGATAAAATTACTATTCTGATAATCTTTTTTTTCTCTGGTTCTGAGTTATTGTCATTGGTATGAATTTAATATAAGATTCTTTGTGCTTTTCTGAGAAGTCACCTGCCACATTCTGAGGATTTTATGTCCTGGCAAAAGAGAACTATTCAAGAATTAAGAAATGGCTAAATAAATAGGTCATCTGAAATGCACAGAATTATTAGAAAGAAGTTTCCGGATTGAGTCCAAAATTGTGTGTTCCATCCCAATGCATTCACTTGCCAAAAAAAAACCCCAAAGTGTTTCCTGAAAATGCATGTGTGTTTCAGACTGAAAAATCTGTACCATGCCGTCTATTTTATTTGTATGCTATTAATCTTAAACATGCATAATTGTTTCTTGTTTTCTTTAATTTCTAGTATTCTCCCTTTGCCCACTGGAAAATGTAAAGCTTCATTTAATCTTGTTTTGTCTTGTGTTTTTACTCCTCATACTTAAAATTAAAGATTATACCTGTGAGAAATTATAAATATATTTTCTTTTGCATGAGGTTTCTAACTCACAGCAGAAGCCTGGCAGCAGTACACTCATATGTCTGTTTTAAAAGCTATGAAGTATATTTCAATTTTAACTATAAATCAGAACAAGGCAGTATATGTAGAGGAGAGCTACATCGCTTATATTTGGAGTGTGATTCCTCAACGGCATGTTTTATTAGTGCTTTTAAAAAAATATTTGTTTAAGAAAATTGTCTTAAATATGCTAAGAAATGCATTCTCAAAAAAAAGGTTTTCATGATAATGGAAAGAAAGCAGAACTGATTTTTGGTTGAATAAATTAGTCATGGGCCTGTAGGAATCTAGCAATAGCATTTTTCTTGAAAGTTGGCTTTCACTGAAGATGTAGGCAGTTCTAAAGTTAGCTTGAAATTGAGCTGAGAGGCCATTCAAGTGCAAGTAGCAATACCTGTTCATGTGAGCTGGGCCTCAGCAACTTAGGTTGTGTAAAAACAAATGGTTATTTATAGTCTGGAAAAATAAATACCTTATGCTGTTAGTAAAAGATATAAGGAACATGGAATTAAAAATTCAAGAGCAAGGAATCAGAGTTGGGTAGGAAGCTCACATCTGCTGTCTATCATCTCAGTTCTCAAAATACCATCTATGTGGTGGGCAGAGTGGTGTTTACATTGTGGGCTTCTGGCTGATCAGAGAAATTAAAAAGGTGTCCCTGTAGTTCTAGCGGAAAATGCACATGGCACATTTCCCCCAGAGTGATGGAAATTGCAGTTTGTGTTAGTTTAGAAGCATGTGGTTCTATGATTCTAGGACAAGAAACTAAACTGTGAAAGAGTTTTGGGTTTTTTTTTGTTGTTTTTTTTTTTTTTTCCTGAAGCGTACATTGAATAGATATATTTTTAAAGTCTGCATTTAAGACTAGGAGGTGTTCAGAGCAGAAGGCTGGAACTGAAGGCTGTAAACTTGTGTTTCAAAATCTGTACATGTCACAGTAGTTTTTGCTGCATGTAAGATTTGTGACCAAAATGTTGACTCTTCAAGAGTATTTGGGAAAAATACACCTTAAATTCCTACTGTACTTTAATGTTTCTCTTTCTTTGTCATCAGGTAGGATAGCATCTAGCAAGTTAGAAAGGAGATGTTACAGCCATCTTTCACTTGTGATTTAAGCCCAGCCAGCCCCTGAGCCCCACATACTGGTTCACTTGCAGATGGAATGGGGGGGAGACTCAATAGGGTAAAAGTGAGAAAACTCAGGGGTAGAGATAAAGACTGTTTAATAGGTAAATCAAAATCTGTGCATGCAGGCAAAGCAAAACAAGGAATTCTTTCACCATTTCCCACGGGCAGGAAAGTGTTCAGCCATTTTCAGGAAAGCAGGGCCCCATCACACCTGATGGTGAAAAGAAGGAAAACACAGTCACTTCGACCATCCTCCCTTCCTTCTTCCCCTGGGTCTATATGCTGAGCATGATGCCATAAGGTCTGGGATATCCCTTGGTCAGCTGGGCTCACATGTCCTGGCTGTTCCCTCTCACAGCTCCGTGTGCATCGCCAGCCCACTCACTGCAGGGTGCAGCAAGGCCTTGATGTGGTATAAGCACTATGCAAGAGTAGAAAACATCCCTGAATTATCAACACTGTTTCCAGCACAAATCTAACATGTAACCCTACACTAGCTACTGTGAAGAAAATTAACGTTTTCCCAGCCAAAGTCAGCACACTAGAATATTTTTGAAACTTAATGTTTTCCTACCTGCCATGTCTTTATTGTGACCTTTTCCTTTGTCAGGTACATACAGAGATTCAGTGCTTTAGTTACAGTAGTTTCCTGCTATGGTAACAAAAAAACCAAATATTTGTATTTGAGTCCAAGACTGTAAGTCGTGACCTGTCTTTGAACCGTTAAACCTCATCAGACCTGAGACAGTAGCTGTTGCTCTGCGCATTATAAAGCATGTGAGAGGGAACCGTGTGCCACTTCAGTAGCTCTAGGGCAGGAGGAAAATACACAAAGTAATACTTGCTTTGCAAAAAATTGTTAGCGTGGAACAAGAGATGGTTGTCGCAGCACAGATTTTCAAAGTTGTTTAACACAAACACAGTGAAGATGGAGTTGTGTGTTCTGTTTCTCAAAACATTAGAACCAAAATAATTCTGTTCGAGGTGCCTTTAGGATATAAACTGACACATACAGGAAAAAATTACCTTCTTTATGGTGTATGAGTTTTTATGCTTGGTAGTTACTGAACCTGGTCTCTCACTGGCTGTTTTCCTATCATTGTCAGTATTGTAGGGGTGTATTTTCACACGAGTGAAGTGTTTTTGAATAATTTGTCTATCTGTGCTGGGAAAAAAACAGGCTTTTCTCCCATGAATGCTTTCTTCAGCTGGCTTACTGAAAGAAAGCTTCCATGTTGCATTTATGTTTGCCTTTTGCTGAGTATGTGGGCTTCTAATTTAAGAAGTTTAGTGTGTAGTGGAACATCATACTGTATCAATAGTCTCAGGAGGTATGTGGAGGGTGGGGGTGTTTTAATCCAGCTCGGGTGAGGATTGGTGTTTTAACCCAGTGATAAGTTATTCAAAAAGTCTTCTACTAGTAATTAAAATGACATTGCTTTTCCTGCAAAAGCTGCTTTAGCAAGTTCTTGATGCCTCTGTTTGTGTAATGATGGTTGTAAGCATGGGTGAATACTAATATTAAATGTGTGAATATAGGTGAGTGAGACGTACAATTTTACAAACTGTAAAAACTAAGTCCTTGCCTTTAAGTAGGAGTTCAGCATATAAGAGATTGCTAATGCACATCCAAATGAAGGAATTATTGATTAAGGCGCATTACTTATATGGCGGCTACAATGAAGAATACAGTTAGCTGCAGGAAGAAAATACTGGTATGTAATGTAAGAAGTTGGTTTTTTTAAGGAGGCATTGTTTTCTCCTCAGAAACTCTGAATTTTTATCTCTTGTATTCCCTTCCCCCCCCCCCCTTTTTTTTTGGCTCAGGTGCTTCTATGAAGAAAAGGATAACTGACTTTTGAAGCCTTTTATTTATATCTTCCTTGGTAGTGCTAGTATACACTTCAGATTAAAGGAAAATTAAAATCAGTGAATGAGGCCTGAGAATACTTTCTTAAAACCAATTTTTAGTTATGTACAAGATGCTATTTGTACTGCTTAAAGACAAAATGAGATTTTATTCTCATTTGGGGTATCATGAGATTTTTTTTTTATCTGTGACTTTTCAAAAACCTTGTGTCTTCCAAACCATCACAGCTATTTTTTATAAGTGATTGGAGATTATAAAGTAATAAGATGAATAAGACATGTAATTACACAACACTTCAGAGCATGTATGTTCACTGCTCCACATAAATGTTTTATTGTTGAGTTGCTTGTGCTACAGGGGTGAAATATCTAGGGCAAAAAGAAATTAATCTGCACTGTTTTCCTCCTATATAATACTGCTAGTTTCTAAGTATATTAATCAAGTTATAGTATGTTCTAAGTATCGTAAGTTCTAAATATAGTAACAACATTGTTTAACGTGATTCTTAAAAAGCATCACCTACAGCTGAATGCTTGCTTGGGCTGAAGAACAGTAGTAAAAGGAATCTATGGCTATATGCTATATATGGCTGTGCAAGATAGAAATTTATTAAGGCATAGTGATGACAGATTTTTCTAATAATAGGTTGTGAAAAGCATTAACACCATCAATGAATGGCTTGATCTTCGCTCTCAATTCCAGATGACCTGTCCTGTGGTTTGTAAGGGTAAGTATAATTCTGTTATGAAAGTATTGGTAAAATCTAGAATTATTTTAAACCATGCCATTATGCTTTTTTGTTTTGTTTGCTTTAGCAGACAAACTCAGAGTGTCTGACCAAGGTGATCTCTGTCTTAGAGGTTTATTAGTGGTCTAGAATGGGTTTACAGCTGTGGTAAGATGCAATGTCAAATAGTTGTAGCACAATGCTAATAATACCTAGTCTGTGGCTTCAATCCTTGTATGGGCCATTCACTTAAGAATTGGACTTGGTGATCTTTGTGAGTCCCTTCAACTTAGAATATTCTGTAATTCTGTGTGATTCTGTGATCTCCTTGCTACTTTAAGGAGATACAGCATATTGGTGCAGCTAAGCACCTTAGTCTACTGAGACATGCCACTGAATATCTGGCTCATAAGTTTCATAGTTTTGTCCTTTCAAGAGCATCTTTTCCAATATGCTGAAGAGCAAGATTTCACTGCATACTGGTGTGGGGAAAAGAAACAGAGTCATGTAGATTCAGTGATATACAGGACATATTCCTGGGCCAGTGCTGTCCTTTTGGTCTGTGTGGAAAATACTTACAAGAATATTGTAGATATGTCACTGATCTTGCTAATGTGCTGTTCTCTGAAAAATTTGATTTTAGCAAAAATGGATAATTATATGATTTTTATGAACAATTACTTTTGTAAAGCAAAAGCCTTCTTTATAACTTAAGCTTCTGTTGTTAGATGTCGTCTGTTACTGAAAATGGAAATGTTACTGCTGGAAAGCCAAATGAAGAGAAAACATATAAAAAGGTAAATAAAACTTTCAACCTTTTTATTTTATATTTTTCCCTTCATGTCAGTAATTCAGATCTACTGTATGTGAATATATTTCAGAACTGACTAAAACCAAGAACAAATAAAACAAGTTCCATGGGGTTTTTGAAATTACTTTATCCCATCTGTGAAATCACAAGGTATTTCTACCCACTGCAGAGCTGAATATTTAAAATTTATTCAGTCCAGCTTTAAAGTATACCATCTTGCTAGATTGATAGAAATTCTATGCTCTTAGCAACAGGTACATCTCTGGGCTTAAACACTGTTGTAAGAAATCTAGTAAGTTTCCAAATGCTTTGAATGTTTATATGATATGTCTAGACTACAAACCTGAAAAGCTAAGCAGCTTTCTAGCACTTTGCCAAACAGACCACTATTTGTTTGATAAGTATTTTTTAAAAAAGAGATGTTTAATGTAGGAGCATGCATAAATGTTCATTTATATATTGCTGACAGCGATTTGGGGGTTGTTTTTCTGATACTGATTGTCTGTGATCAGAATTATTTGGATCCACTGGCAATTTTGATGACTAAGCTGAGCTATAAATACAAATTTTTCTTGACATATTTATGCAACTAAATTGTTATCTACTGAATTTGATCATTATTTTGACAGATCACCTCAAAGAAATGGTTATTATGTTTTTAAATTAATTTCTGTAATCTAGCACAGAGGTCCACATGCTTCTGCAGTACATACAGTGATTAGGGTTTTTAATTTCTGGGTGCTGCTTACAGTACTGCTGGTAAAGTCAAGGACATTAATAAGCTCTTTCTTTTCCAACTCTTTTTCCTGGCAGTTACATTGCTAATGCCTCACAGGCCTTAGCATTACAGATAATTTTCTCAGAAATGAAAGAAAATAATGTTTGGTTTAAATATAGGTTAGTTTAAATTTCCCAACTGATAACTTTAAAATATAGAAGTCAAAATTTGTCTTCACAATTAATATGAAAAAGGAAGAAATGTTCAGTGCCCGAAGTGAATACTTCTTCAGGTTTATTTTGCTAGACTAGACTACTAGCAGCCATAGGTAAGTTTCCATTCCCCCATGTCATTCCACATACTCTTCTCTATTCCTTTTTAACTATTAATTCACAACCTTTCAGAGGAAGCTGTGTAAAGTCTTTTTCACTATGGCACAAATTCAACTGTGTATCTACTGCAAGTACCTCTGGCAAGACCTGGGATTCACAGCCACATCATACTGACAGACCACAGTGACTATCCAGGTTCTGTCCCTGAACCACCAATTGTTGTATCTTGTGCCAATTTATTTCCTTTTCATATAATTACACCTTCAGTTGTTCTGTGTTCAAGATCTGTGCTGCATATGCCCCAAATAGTTTAGTGCTATTACCAAATATTGTCATCATACTCCTTCTTTTTGTGATCAGTTTAATAAAATATTAATAATGTTGACCTCAAAATTCATCCATGCAGAGCTAACTAGTACCATATATTTGCCTGATGCCTCACTTTTAACAATGTCTCTCGTTTCTTAAGCCAAATTCCTTAGAAACTTTGCACCTTCTGTTAAATCTTGAAGACTGTGCTTGAGCAGGGAGGTTGGTCCAGATGACCCCACTGGTGGTCCATTCTAACCTAAACCACTCTGTGATTCGGTGATCCTCACCGCCTTCAGATATTCTATATACATTGTTTATTTTTTTAATAGATGTTCAGAGTCATGTATCAATAGTATATGCCTGGAAGTATAGGGTAAGCCTAGTAGGACTTGTGTTCATGAGGCATATAGGTGCTCCTTTAATTCCATGATTTTAGGTAAATTACACAGAGAGATCTTGCTTTGTAGAAGGCTTGTTTGTAGCCAGAAGCTCCCTGTCTTAAATTGTCCACAAGTGTTGCGTTTACAGTTCTCCAGTCATATATTGTTACACTTACTAGACTGAAAAATACTCAAAGTTCTTCTTGTGACTTCCTGTGCCACTTTCTCCAGAATTCTGGGCTGGGGTAGAGCTTGTTTCCTCAGCTGGTGTTTTTGCAGCCTCTTCTGCTCCAATCTGTTTCACCACAGTGGAAACACTTGGGCAAGACACTGATTCAGTGCTGAAGTCAGGCTGTGCTTGCTATCTTATTCTCATTGTTTAGTCTCATTCACTTCTTTTTTTTAACATAATAAAGGTCTAGAAGCTTGTACCTCTCAGCTTACAAAAGCAGAGATCAGTACCTTGGCTTGTGCTGTGGCCTGTAGTTCTTTAGCACATTTGGCCTTGGCAGAGTTTCCAGAGATTACTTCTCTCTTCATTGTGGGGAAAAAAATGAGTTTTGTTTATAGTGGAAAAGTTTATTTCTGACCTGTAGAATTTTTTGCAGTGCAATATGTTCTATATGTTCCTGAATCTATGTCAGTTAGTTATAAATGCTATCCGTATATTACAAACTTCTTTAGTAATTACTGTCTTTCAGTGCTTTAAGTTAACCTGAGTTGGGTGAAAACAAACTATCTCCAGGAGAGCAACTCTGACTTCATCCATGATAAAACTTTCCAGAAAAAGTAGTCTATCAGGTTTTTTTCTGGAATTTTAGATTATTCCAATTTAATGAAATTATTTTGTTAATCTCGGCTGAAATAGAGGTAGGTAACATCTTATCTGAATTAATTAAATCTCCAGCTCTTCAATTTCCTACGGTAGTCAGCTGACCTGCTATCTGCATGAATGTAAACATCTTGAAGTGCCAAGAAATTTCTTTCATTACTACAACCTTGTGAAAGGGCTTGCATGAGCATTGCTACCCTATCCTTTCAGACTCTGAAATGCATACTGGACCAAGGCAGTGCATGATTTCTATTATGAATCATGCTGCTTCTTTCTACTGTTTTCTTTCTAACTTTCAGTTTTTCTTCTGCTGCATTCTGACATAAATGTCTTCTGACTTTTAATTCTCTGTTATTATCTAGTCAAAGTCTTGAGAGAAGAGGGAACACAACTTTCTGTTTATTGGTTTTTGGGTTTTTTTTAATTGTTTTTTTTGTTGGGTTTTTTTCCCCTCCCTTCTGAAAACCAGGGTGTTTTTCTCTCTTTTAAATGGTGTTATTTAAGGTGGGGCTGCTAAGCTGTCCATCTGCATGCATTTCTTACAAACATTAAAATCTGAAACTACTTATGAGTTTTCTGTCTATTTGTGAATTTTGAGAAGCTGTTAAATCTGCAGTGTGAATATGAACAATAAAGTGTTTCAGGCACCCAGATCAAAGAACTGAGTTAATGAAAGAGACACTTCACAGATATATATTCCATGCAGCTTTTAAGGTAGAGAATAAAAATAATCGAGATCAAAGAAATTGTAAATTGTGCAGACTGTGGTCAGTTCATTCAGGGTGGAGGTTTATTTGATGATTAGCTTAGGTTAGTCTTATATTTCTTTTGTGTTTGGTTGGGTTTGTGGTTTTTTTTTTGTTGTGAGGGGTTTTTGTCAGAGAGAAACAGGGTAAGTGATACAAGAGAGACTGGTTATTTGTTCCATTGCATGCTTTCAAAAATCAGGTCACCAGACTATAGTTTCTCTTGGATATTCGTATCCAGTCACAGGTATATGGAGTATGCAGTTGCTGCTTTTTTACATTTTCTCCCTATTTTGCAGGCTTTGTTGTGAGAAGTGGCTGACACACATGCAGTTTTTGCATTGCAATGTCATCAATCACACAAGCCCTGAGCCCGCTCCCTGTCAAATCAGATTTCAGTAGCATCCTGGTGCTAAGTAATAGGAGGGTGGCAAGAATGAGACACAGACAGGTCTGTCAAAGCGCATTAGAAATCTAGAAGAAAATCACACCAGAAAATAAAATAGATGTGAATGTGCACTTGTGAGACTCTGTTACTGGATTGTCACAATCTCTACGTTTAGTCTGAAGGCTGCCTCACAAGTGTATAATTAGAGTTTGTTTCTTGTCATTACATATGTTGCAGCTCTTCTGTTTAGAGTATTACCAGTACTTTATGTAACCTGTTCAAAACTGTGTGTCATGAATCGCTTTGCCAGGGGCAAGGGAAATTTGCCTGGATGAAGGAAGCCAGGTGCCTATTGTTAGAGTTTACAAACATGTGCAAGCAGCATTGCTCCATCACTTTTAGCACTGACTTATACCCTGCATCTAATGCCTGCAGGTAGGGTACTTTTTCTTGTAGACATGACAATTTCACCACTGGAGGTTTTGCTGCACAGGGACCTCAATGACAGATCTTATGCATCCACAAAGATACTAAAATTACTGTCTTTAGTGACTTTGCCTGGAGCTATGGCTACTTCCAAGCTCAGAGGTCTGAAATTCTTTTCCTCAAGGGTAGAACAACCAGAGTAGTTGGGTTCATGGCTACCACTGAAGCTTAAGCATAAATGTTTTGAAACAGAGGAAAAATTAATTGAAAGCCATGGAGTCACTTGAATCCAGTTTTGGAAAATGAAGGGAGATCAGATTCAGTATGGATAAGAAAATCATTCAGATTTCAGTTGAACTGTAACAGTCTCACAGACACACACAGATGGGCCGGAGTCCACCTTCATGAAGTATGACCTGCAGAAGGTGGGCAATCATTTGCTAGAGAGAAGTGTGAGCTGAAGAAAGATTGGAGGGCTACTGTGGCCATAGTGACCCATGATTATAAGTTGTGGAGAAACACTAGAATCAGTTATTTTAATGGGATTTTCTGGTAACTCTCTTTTTATGTCCCTATTTGTGATTTATTATGTGGCAGTGGCAGAAAGCATGCTGAGATGGGGCAGCCACCTCCATCCAGTGGTTTCAGTGGAAACAGTGTCAAGCAGTGTTGCTTCAATGAGACTGTAAGCACAGCAGGTACTCAAAGACAAGACAGATCTAGTGCAGGAGCAATAGACTAGGGAATAACCACATCTTGAATCTAATTGAACTTTCCTAATATTCTAATTCTAATAATATTCTAATTCTAATATTCTAATTTCCTAATATAGTGAGCTCTTTTTAAATATTG